GGGGTGTCGGTGGGGACCGGGGGCGGCCCCGGCCCGAGGGGAGGGCGCGGGGTGGAGGCGCCTCGTCCGTTCGACGCCCGGGCTGCTGGGCCCTCCGCGCCCCAGTGCGGCCCTGAGGAGAGGTCTTGAGGGTGGCTGTGGCAGCAGTCCCCCAGATCCCAGCTGGAGCGGGATCAGTTGCTTTCAGGGCTTGAGGAAGAGAAAACAGCCCGTCTGCCCAAGGGGTGGGCATGGGCTGAGCTGGAGGCAGCAGCAGCGAGGATTTTTTTAATGTTTTGGGATGAGGAGGTTCATAGGTGGAGGTAATGAGGGAGTAGGACGTGGGGTTTTTTTGTTTTTTTCTTATATTTTTACCCTGTGAGGTTGAACTGATCACCTGTCTCAGATCTTGATAGTGAAGTAAACTTGAGAAAGCTTAGGAGTACAGTCTGTTTACTTGTTTCCTGAGTGGCAGTAGGAATTTCTTCTTTTCTTTTCTTGCTGCTATGCTGTTACAGGTGTTTCTTCCAAACTGAGATGTATGAAGAGGTGTTGTCATTTACTGCTTGTGTTCTGTCTTTTACGAGTCCTGTGTCTGGTGAATTTACGTGGTCCTTGCTGGCCTGTTTGCTAATAAGTGTGACATTTGTTTTGCTACTTCTTTACTTACCTGGTTTCTTCATTGAGCTTTTGGTTCCAGAGATGGTGGATTGACAGCTGCTGTTTAGTCTGAGCTCTTGATATTCTTTCAGTTGTGATGCAAGGGACCGGCAAGTTTTCTAATATGTTAATGCTTGCACTGTGTCTCAGGAAAGATGAGGTATACAGGGCTCCAGGAAGGTACATCTCCAAAGCACTTGTCCCATCAGACGCTGTTAACAGCTGTTTGAGGATTTTACCTAATTTCTTTCTAATGGTAACTTGAATTTATTTTGTCCTCTTGTGTCTTTTTGCAATATTGTAGCATCTCATATCACTTGGTATTAAAGTTGGCATTTGAACTTTTATCCAAGAGTGAATTGCTCTGAAATTCAGTAGTATGTTGAAAGTCCAGTTGGTTGGTCCCCACCGTGTAGGCTTGGGAAATTTGATTTCAAATGGTGTTTTTTATTTCAGATATTTTTGTTTCTATTTTGAAGCACTGAATTCTGCCCTTTGCAACTGAATTTTTACATTAATTTATAGTGTGGACTAAATGATTGTTTTATTTCAAAGAGTGGTCCTGTGGCCCTTTTATGCATCTTGTTCATCTCAAATTTTGGGTTGCCCTACACGAATAGTGTGTTTGGCTTGGTTTTTTTTTGGTTTTTTTTTTTTTTTGTAAAATTAGTGTGTCTAGATAGATTTGAGTGGTACCAAAATCCAAAAGAAGAAAGTGATTAAAGCCTTTAAAAAATGCCTATGTGCCTGATGGGTAAATAAAGAAGACCTTGGATTGAATAAACACTGATAGGACCTAAGGTTTCTGTCCTGCACTTGAGAGATACTTCTTTACTTTCTTTAGAGGGCCTGATTACAGCTGGTTTGGTGCTTATCTTGTTTTGATTCTGTTAACTTTGGTAGGCCTTGATTTCATTTTTTATTTTTTTAACCCCCTTACATATTGGAAATAGACTTTTGGAAGATAGTTAAATGTGTGGTAGTATTTGCATTTTACCCTGTCTCTGTGTCAGTCCTGTGGCCACCTGCAGTGGAGGGCCCCGAGGCTGTAGAGTGCAGGTATGATGACATCCAGGTAAATGGTGCAGGACTGCCCACTGTGTCTGGGCTTACAAGAGCGCATGGAAAGCTGTAAGCAACTGTGCTTTTTTCACAAGTCTGTCTTGGATCTGAAGCAGGTATTTTTGCTAGAAATGGTCCTGCTGAGATTCCTGGTGTTTCACTATAGTAGCGATGAGCTAACACAGCAGTATGGTGCCATGGCAAGCAGGGCCATAAGAGAAGAACTGGACAAGTTGAGGCTGTCAAGGCATAACCTAAGCAGAGGTGCTGACTGTGCTAGGGACCATTTGGACCATTTCCCTTCCCTAAGACAAGTGATCTCAGCTGGCTTGAGGCCAGCTGAAAAGTTTTGTTCTCCCTAGCTGTGTTGGGTAGGTAAAGATACTTCTCTTCCAAGCAAAAAATATATATATATTTAAATTTCAGCTGTGTTTGTTACAGTCTTTTTCTTTTTTTTTTTTCTTTTTTTTTTATTTTTTCCTATGGTTGAATATTAGGGTCAGCATCTTCTCTGGCAGATTTTCTGGGCTGAGACTGGCTTGTGTGGAAACCATGTCCCACTGTAGCTTCTGCCCTGCTTGGAGCCTTTGCCAGTGTACCAGGACAGAGCTTTGTCAGAGCACTGGCTTTCTTTTAACACTTTTGGAGCTCATTTGTGAAGATCAAAAGTTATCTATGTATTGAGCAATGCAAATCTTGTTTCCCTGAATCCAGGCTGAGATTCATTTGGCATTCTCAGGTGTTAACCTCCATTTTTCAGATAACGAAGGTGTGCAGCTGTGTAAGTGTTTTGAACAACTGTGGCATTCATGTGTTTGAAAATGAAGTAATTATGCGTGCCAGATTCCATTAAACAAAGGGTGGCCTACTAGGTCTCCTTTGCACTAAATTAGGCCAGTATGCAATAGTAACTTTTACTGACTAGATGTGTAGTAGCTACAAATCTCTAGCTTCTGGCCCTGGGAGCTGTTCTGAGGATTGAGAGCACTGAAGTGACATAAATTTCAGAACTTACCTCAAAGACCATGGCTGGGAAAGTTTGAATGAAAACTAAGACATGTTATTTTTTGACAGCGAATGGATTGACCATTGGAGTGAGCTATCTGAAGGTAGAGGGGAACCTCCATTCTTCATGCTGCAATTCAAGGCCAGAAACTTTTCTGAAAGATGTTCAAGCCTTTTGGGCTCGACTAAGGAAATGGAAACTTCAGGGCCAGCATTACTTGAGGTTGAGACAGGATGGTCTGATGGGCTTTGTGAATTCAAATTTAATGTGTCTATGCTGCTAGAGCCAAGATAATTTCTCCATTCTCTGCAAAGTGCCACGTCATCCCAGGTGTCTGTGTCCTGGTCTGAGTACATGGTTTGGTGAGTGGCTGAGCTGACTAATAGCCCCAGTGGCTCATCTCATTCCTACTTCTGCCAGTGTGGGCCCATCCTCTTTGAGCTTTGATATTCATCCAGCCTGGCCCTGAGCTAATTCGTCTCACTAAACCAGCCGGAAACTATCTTGTTTTAATTGTGTTTTATTCTGGCTGTGTTAGTCCTTTTATAGGTTCCTGTGGTTGCATCAGCTCACAGAAGAGCCAGACAAGCTCAGGAACTGGTGTAACGTAATCAGCAGGAGAGTAAGTCTGAGAGGGAAGGACAGGCCTGCCTCCTTTTGGCCTCCCAGAATTATTGGCTTGGTTAACCTCATTTTGTGTAGTTTCACACTGGTGTGTTTTCTTATGGATCCCAGGCAGAGGCAGGAGACGAGTAGAGGATTTTTGGTCTGATCCTGTGCAACTACTCTTTTCCTTAATAGCAAATCTGTTCTTCCTCTTCGGCTTTTGCTGTATGTGTCCCTGTTAATGCTTCTTTGTTTTAATTTTTGTTCTTTCCTTTCTCTACGTTTCTTCTAAGTGACCAGTCCTTTGCTGTGTGGAACTTCTTCAGACTCCAGCTTAGACCCGTTTGCTCATCTGCAGTTACTCTTGGAGAAGGTTTAAAAATACACAGCAAAGCCTGTCTTAGGAGACCAGTCAAGGAGCTGACGAAAGTGGGTTGCCTAGCAGAGGTGGCCTAATAAAATTGAAGTGGAATTGTACTGTGCATCTTTGGGACGGCTTCTGGGTGGTCTGTTCAGACAAATTCGTGTCCTGCTGGTGTGGAGTCTCCATGTGGGTTTCACTGTGTTGTCAAGTGAACTGAGATGTGTTTGTTTCCCAGCTTTGTAGGGTGCCATAGCTCCAGCAAGTGCTTCCCTAAGTAATCAGCGCCTTCGGCCTTGCACATTGTGATCTCACAAGCCATCGCGTCTGTGATGTCACAATGGAAGAGATTCTGGTGCTCTGACATGTGTGGTCGTGCCTTTGACAAATCAGCCAAGGAACCCAGCGGCAAGAATGAGCTCAAGAAATGGGAGAGACCTTCCTTAACCCAAGAGTGCCCTCCATCCTTTAGTCAGCCTTTTCCATGTTCCATAATGACCATGTAGAGGGAAACCAGTGCCTGTATAGGGTGAATTATTTTTTTCAGTTGACCTACCAAGATGCATGTTTCTCCCAGATGAGCAGTTGCCCAATCCTCCTCCTGTACCCCTCATTCTATTCTGTTTTTCCCCTCACTTGTATTGCTTCTAATTTTAGACTGTAAGTTCTTGAGAACAGGGACCTCCTCATCTGTAGTGGGAAGAGCCTGGGTGTGATTGTGGAGTACTGTAAAGACAAAATTATGAATGCCAAGTTGTATCTGAGCTGAGTAATGATGGGGCAGCATATAGACATGCCATGACATTACAAATTTTCCAAAATACAGGCGTGGTTGTCTAGCAGTGCTGGAGGCAAACCCAGCCAAATGAGAAGGGAGTGCAGCCATGAAGTGTACTGTTCTCATGTTCAAGTGATGATACTGTGAGGTTAACAAATTAAAGAAGCAAATTTACTTGTCTTAAAAATGTGTTACTTTATTAAAAAGTTCTAAAAGCTTTGTCTTTTGTTATTTGTTTTACTTTATGTTGGTTGGTTTTTTTGCAAGTTTGAGTGGTGAGAGTGGATAAGTTGGTCTTGTTCATAGTCTCTTGTTTTCTGCCTCACAGGCTAGCCAGGTGCTGTCATTTTTGGACTGTAGTTCGTCTAATGAAATATTTGGGTTTAGGTTAAGGTTGATTAAAAAACACCCTGAGTTATCTCTATTGTTCTTCAGTTATATTTTCACACAAGTGAAATATGGGCTCACATTTGACCTCTGAGTATGCATTTGAACAGCTACCAAAATTGAAGTTCTGCATTTTTTGTTATACTGTGTTCCAGGTGTTGCAAAATGTGTGCAATTTTGTTATACAGAAAGCATCTCTATTACCCGAACTTCTTTTCCCCTCCATAATTCAATAAAATAGACAAACCTGACTTACATTTTTGATTGGTTTTAGTGCTCTAGCCTTGAGTTCAGTTGTCTCTTTGAGGCCAGGAGTCACAGCTGCCCCTACCCAGTTTTTGCACAAATAATAAACAAGCATTTTACTCCCAGAGCTTGCTTGCTTTTATTTAATTTCAGTTTGTGTTGTAGTTTAGGTTAGTGGGGTTTTTTCCTTGTTTGTTTGTTGGTTTTGTAATATGGTGGAGGGCTGTCTTGCCATAACAAAGTAATTTAACATGTAAGTGAAGGCTCTCATAAAATGTAATTTGGATCACCCTGCCAATGTGAAGTTAGGTGTTGTCTTCCTGCCCCTTCCCTACTCAACTTATCAAACTGAAAAATAAAGGGGGGTATTTTGGGCTTAAAGGCAAACTTCAGTTTTAATTAGACGTAGTTATAAAAAGTTCATATTTATGTTATATGCCAGGAATCATTAAGCTCAAGTTCGTAGGCTAATTTGTTGTGCCATTGATGAATTTGACTCCTCTGGAGCTTGTGTGGTGTACATTCCTCTCTGTGGCTTTAGGGCTGCCCTGCAGGCAAGGGACAGCATTTGCACCGTCCTCTGGCTCTTGTCACCAGCATTCTTCACATGGCAGGAGTTCCCTCTCTTGTTCATTGCTGCTTTGGTTGTCCCTAAGAAACTTTCCCAGTAGGAAGCCTGGTGTGCAACAACCACCAGTGCAGATTCTCTGCTTTGCACTCAGTGGGGCCCCTGGCAAAGCTGATGGCTACAGCTGGCTCTTGCCTTTCTCTTGGCTTTCCTTCCTTACTGGTGCTTACTGTCGTGCTTTAGTACCATATGCTTGGACTGCTAAAGAAGCAAGAGCTGTGGTCAGTCTGAACTTGTCTTGCTACCTGCAGCTGATGTCCAGAGAACATTTTTTCTTAAACTTACTTTTGAAATAATGATGCTGATTTTAGCCAGTCCTGTCACATGGGACACATACTGTTACACAGCACAGAACACAACCTGTCTTCCAGGTGAAACCCATCACATATGGCCATTTCCCATCTTACTGGGTGCAGCAAATGTAAAGTGGTGTCACATTTTCCTAGGTCTGTGTACAATCTGTCAAAATAATTCCTGAGGTCCAACCTCAGTTCATGGTCCCATTACATTTCATACGTATCTGTATGAGGAATTTGAGCTCTGTGATATGAAATATCAACCTAGTAGGGTTGACTGCCAGATGTGACAGCTTGCACTGTCTGAGATTATAATCTGATCCTATGTGTGTAAGAAATATATATGGTGTTTTATGTAGGTTTGGAAATGGAATCACTGAACATGTGGATTTATATGGCTAGAGCTGGGTTTTTAATTTTTGAAGCTGCATTGCCTACATCGTTGTCTCTTGGAAAAAAATACAGGATAATTACTAGTGCTTTGCATTGTCATACCCATTATAAATGCTTTACATGACATCTAATAAAGTGTGTTTGCTCACCAGCTATCTTGTGCTCTGAGGCACTCTGACCTTGCCAAAGAAGATGATGTGAGGTCTTCCCAGGGCACCCAGAGCAGTGGCTGGGTAAACATACCGTTAAAACTTCATTTGGCTGAAGGTGCAGAGTTTGCAGTGGTGTTGCCCTGATTTGTATGCTGCCTGTGTAGGGAAATCCACATGCGATACCCCACTCACACACCTTTGTTCAGAGCACTGCTCCCTCTGCTACATGGGATAGTGGGGAGGGAGGCTGCTTTTGGGATGGGGAACCTGATCCTGTTGCTAGATATGGACCACTGCAGAAGCTGTTAGTGTAAACATGCACTGGATTTTTGCTGTTACTTCCTTCCATGGATGTCACACACTACTTTTGTGACCCTGACCTGCCATGCCAGGGTCTGGCATAGTGCTGCTGTGACTGCATGGGGATGTGCCTGAATCCTGCCAAGGTGGCTGGTTTACCTTTGCCATGGACTCTGTGGCTCAGAAACCTCTGTATCACTGTGTTTAGTGCAACCCAGCCTGAAGATTCTTGGGGTCCATGTCTGATACCCGGGTTTTGCCAGTTAATATATGCTAGAGAAGAGATCTTGCTGTGGGTGGATGGATAATACATGTTTTATTGTCTCTGTTTGATTTAGGGGTTGAAGCCTGTCTGCCTCCCCCACTCCAACTGTGAACTTTACTTGATGCAGTAAGCTAAAGACCAGGTTTTCCTGCAACTAACATACAAGCTGCTTTATTCTTGTGAATAAACATTATATATGTTGTGATGGGCCTTTAGAGTCATAGTAGTTAGAAGATTTAAAGCATGTATACCTAGAATATCTCTTATGTGGCACATGTTAGAAGTAAGTACAAGTAACTTCTATTTCTTTGTAATACATTTATGAATGACAGCCAAAGCTGTAGATGGAAAGGCAATCGGTAGAACTGAGCCCCTTTAAAATAAATGCCACATTGGGCTCTTCATTTTTGGTTTTGAAACTTGAGTTTTCAGTTTTTGAGGTACCTGCTGTCTGGCACACAGCTTTAATAAAGCAAACAGCTTCAAAACATGAAAGCCTTAAGGCAGGGGCAATGCATATATGCCATGGAATTGGCAGTGTGGGCACTAGCTCGATCTTAAACATTTCAACTTTGATTTTTGCCTTTCACTCAAAAGCTTGGAAAGGGAAGGTTACCAAATGTGTGTTTACTCGAAGCACACAACCTGCTTAGCCGCAATTATCTCCTAATCTGGTCCTTCTGAGTTTCTCTGGTCTCGCAGGTAAATACAGATTTAGCCGTTATTCAAGGCATATTATTTACCTCATTAAGTGTGTGTTTTGGCACGCGCATTATTTACCTGATGGACTAACGGATGGGAGAGAGCAAATGCTGTCTTTTGTGCAAACAGTGACTTTGTTCATGAGCAGCAAGTCCCCATTTTGCCACGGCCACCTTTGTCTCCATGTCTCATGGTGGGTGTTTCCATCCCTTCATGGTAGAGCAAAAAGCCAGCACAGGTGTTGGGGCGGGGGGCATGTCAAGTGATGGAGTTCTTCCATGAGCAGTGGGACCAACTGTGGGGATGGATTTAAATATCTATGTAGCAGGATGTGTGTGTGTATATACATGCATGCACAATTAGAGGGGGTAGTCCTATCCTTGTTCAAGAGGACTGAGTTGGTGCAATTTGCCTGTTTAGCTATCAGTCCCTGTACCCACCCATGTAATACCATGAGCTGGTCTGGAGTTCTCATCCCTGTAGATACATTAACAGCCCTGAGGCTGACTCATCTTGAATAGTGACAACTGGCAACTTTTTCCTGAAAAGTTTTAGAAGAAAAGTAATAGGAGGGGAAATCCATGTAGTCTCACATGGATAATGCAATTTACTAAATAGTGTTTGTTAAATAGAAGTATCAGAAGGTGATGGCTGAGTGAGGTATTTCTTTGGAAGCGAGACTGTACCCTATAGAGTCCTGCTTGCATTTTACATTATTGCAGTCCCTGTGTGTGATTAGTTGAACTGATACCTTCCTCTGAGAGAAATACCTGAAGTAAGAAGCGGAGTGTAGCATTAAAATCACATCTCTGAGAAACCTTGTGTACAGAGCAAATGAGAACTTTCCTGGGGAGGAGCCTTCCAGCCACTTGGCACCTGGATTTGTAATGAAAGTGCCATGTTTTGGTGCAACTGGCAGATGTTTCAGGGCCAAGCTGTTTGGATAAACTGTAGTGTTGGTATGTGTATTGCTGTGTTTAATTTTTACTGTGTATTAGAAACTGCTTTGTATATGAAAAGATGAAAGACCTCAGAAATTTCAACAGGGCTTAGACTGGATATTCTGTGTTTTAGTTGGTTTGTATTATGTTCTGCTGTAATGAGGTTCAGCAGTGGGGTGTGATCTGGTGCCTGGAGCCATGACTGTTGTGTATCTCATAGTTCTTAATTTAGAGTTGTTTGCAGAGGTTAATTTTCAGTTGCCTGTGATTCTGGACACCTTAGGCTCAATCCAAATGTCATCTGCTGTGCTTAGAACAGGTTACTGTGTTATTTCAGGCTTGTGATGCTGGAACCTTCACTGGGAAGCACAAAGGGAATCCCTTGCAGAGGAGGACAGTGAATGGATACCAGCAGAGATAAAAAGTATGTGTGCGTGAGTAACATGAGTCTCTCTTCAGTTTCAGATGCCTCTGGATGTTCAATGATAGCACTTCTCCATACTGGAGCAGCAAAGTTTTCCCAAAACTTACTTTCAAGGTCAAGACAAGCTGTGTCCCCCATCTTCCCAGCTGGTGTTCTCAAAGGGTTCAGCTCCATCGTAAGCAGGAAACTGGCGTCCCACGGCTTTGGAGCTTCCATGGCAGCAATGTCATCCTTCCCTCCACAGAGATATCACTACTTCCTAGTGCTGGATTTTGAGGCGACATGTGATAAACCACAGATTCATCCTCAGGTAAATGGTTAATCCTATTAATTATTGCCTTGCAAGTTGCTGCTGCTCTTCTAGAGGTAAAAGCACCCACAGTGCTAGCTCACTAATTTTTTCTGGTTGTCCCACCTCCTTTCTATTGCTGGTTCTCCAGGGCTCTTGCCAATCACTTGCTGTCTCAGAAGCAATGCTAGGACTGTTTGGTGGGAATGAATAAATTAGTCTGATTTCCATCAAGGGAGTGACAATTCATGTGTTATTGAAAGCAACTTTAAGTCATGTATACTTTGTCATTTGTCTGAATTGGGAAGGATCTAAAAATTTTTGGCTGGAAACTTGCAATAATAGATGGCAGCCGTGTTTGATTCTGCAAGGAAAACGGCTGTTGGTGGTGAACAGCTTTAGGAAAAGAATATTTTGAACAATGGAAATATGTGGAACATGATGGTATTTCTAAGTAGAGAAGAAAAACATTTTTTTAGATAGTTTCAGCAAGGTCAGATATCTTGCCTGGGTTTTAACTCTGGAGTGTAAAGAGACAGGAAGAGTTCAGCTTCAGAGAGGTCTTCCAGTGCTCTACCACTTGAGACATACAGAGATCCAGATGAAGTACAGGGCTTTTCTGCAAATAGTTCTTTCACAGTACTTTAGAGCAGATTAGTAAAAATATTCTCAGTTGTAATCAGGATGGGCTTAGGTTTTCAACTGGAAAACTGTACTAAAAAAACCCCAGAAAACTCCGATATTAGGTTGGTAGCGAACAAACAGAATTTCTGAGCCTGAAGTGGACTCAACATCCTCTGCTGAGTAATTGGTCTGCATGTGTTGGTAGTACCTGCTTTGGTTCACAACAACTTCCTTTTGCTTTGTTTCAACTGTATGAAAGGCTTAAGCAGTTTTCAGCGTGGTGTCTCCCAGTGCTGCTCTGGTTTCCCTTGCACTTGTCCTAGCAAAGGGTTGCTGCAAGTTGGGAACAAACTTGACTCCTGCCTTCCCCAGTAATGCTTTGGTGGGTGCTGCCTGTTCTTTGCGTTTCTTGAAAAATGGATAGCAAATTCCCTGCTCTTTCGCTGGCCCGTTGTGGGAGGCTGTTGTGGCTCTGCAAACAGTTCTACTTGTAGGCTCTTAACTGCTCTCCAAGTGAGATGTCAGGCTATTTCCTGCATGCTCCGCCTCAGGTGCATAGACCTGTCAAAGCTGTAAATTGGATCTACCTTGTCCCTTTGGATATGGGCTTGGTCTGTGCACATTTTGATGCAAAACCATGATGCATGTGGAGCTAGTTTACAGCTGGCAGTAAAAAGGAGCATGAGTGGAATATGATTACTACTGTTTTAAGGAGCTTTGTCCCCAAGTCCTTGCCAGGGAAAGTAATGGTCTGGGCCAATGCAGATCTGCTATATATTTTGTTGGTGAGATAGCACCTTTAAGGTGGAGATGTTCTTCAGTGTTGTTTTTCCAGTCTGCTGTGTTCAGTGCCTGTCTGTGTCATATAATGTATTGAAAGGGCTGTCAGTCCCTCACATATCCTCACCAACAAATTAGTTTGACAAATAAAGAAATTACTTTTGCTACATGGGGTTCAATGTAGCTGGAAAGGCTAAAGGTGCCTGCCAAAATCAGGAAACTTCATAAAATGAGACTTCAGCTGATGCCCTACCTCTTATGTCACTGCTGACCAGCATGCCTTTTGTCCTCTTCACTGCTAGGCTGTATGTCATGGTGAGCAAACTGTGCCATGCATTTCAGCAATGTTTTCTGCAAAGTTTGAGTGACAGGATCTTTCACTGCAGGATTGATAGACAGGTTTTGGAGGTTCAGTCTGAGGTCAGAGCTGGGAGCTAGAAATGGATGCTTATCTTCATTGTGATACTGATTAATTTTTTTGCTTTTATTTTAATATCTGCAAAACAGAAGTACAGATACAGTGAAATTCAAATGCATTTGGATTTGATCAGAAGGCTGCATATACAGAGCTAAGCTAAGCTGTGAACCACGTTACTTTAAGTGGGTAGCCATAGCTGTAAATTTAGCCAGTTCAGCCTAAAAATCTTGCAAGAGTTCACTTGCCACCATACAACACATTTTACATTTTTCACTCACTGCTCTTAAAAAAATATTCTGGCTTCTTACAAGAAACTACCGAAAGAGCTATCTTTTTATGTACACTAAGATGTGTGTCTGCCACATCTGCTCCCCCTCCCGTTGTATTTACTTGTGCTTCTCTGTAACTGGCAGCCTTGCTGGCTTTATCCCTGGGGGAGTCCTCCATGCTCATTCGTGAGCCCTGAAGGCCCCTTCATTTCCATTCCCTTTCACATTGTCTGATCTCTCTCTGAGGTCTCGTGGTATGGCCTCTGTAATGGGGATCAAGGAGGGTCAAGGACAGTGGTATTCCCCAGGGAAGCCATCTGTATGGTGGCTCCAGTGGCTGGGACTGCTGGCTGAGTGCCTTGTGACTGCTGCCCTGTGCCCTTCACCACTCACTCCTGTGTCAGGCATTGAGGGTTCCTTCACGTTCCATGCCCTATACCCACAAAGGAATAGGAGCATCCTTGCAGCCCTGACTTCTGACTGCTTCCAGAAGATATGCCCCTCCATCAAAGTGCTTGTTTATATACACATAGAAACCACTTAGCTTTATTGGTTTTCTGGATGTATGCATGAATAATTGGACCATCCCAGAGAGAAAAGGTGTGGAGGGTTTTGACTGAACAGTCTGTGTCATGTAGTGTTTTAGCCAGTCAAAGGTCATTTGGGGTTGGCAGTAAGAGATGTTTATGGCTGGCCTCTCACATCTCTTTAAAGCTTACCTTGTGCCTTTGGAATGTGATCCGAAGCCCAGTGGGGTCAGTTGGGAGCTGTCATTCTGCAGAGGTCAGTGGACCCTGAACAGTGGTGGTGTGTTTCATTTTTCAGCTGAGTTTTTTCTTTTACTGTCTGGTAAGAGTTTATAAGTACCTTCTGCTTTTTATACACTGTCAGCCCATAGAGCTGGGTACATATGGAGCTTTAGCTTCATGAGAAGATGCATTAGTAAGTGGGAGTCTTGCTCTTTTGTCCCTTTGTCCTTGTAGACACCAATGTTTATGGTGGTCAGTGCTTTCAGTGACTGTGCTAGGCAGCTCCACAGACTCAGATCTGTGGCTGCCTTTATTAATGCAGTAAGAAGGTGTGCCTCTTTCAGTCAGCAAGCCAGGCATCTTGCCTTCAACTTCAGCCGAGTGGAAGAAAATAAATTATTTGTTTTAAATATAAAAAGTCTGACAGCAGAAATCAGATATGTTCAAAGCTGAATTTGAAATTAGCCTTCTATATATGATGTTAATTAGTATCTACTCTGATTTATTAAAGCCACTTAAATGAAAATCAAATAAAATTCAAGCTCTGTATGTCTGCTGCCTGGAAATGTAAAAGAGCATCAGACCTCTGGCCTGGTAGAAGGAGCTGAATCTTGGAGTTGCTAAGCTGCTAAATGAGCTTCTGGTAATGATAGAGTTGCATTTTCTTGTGTCAGTTTTTTCAGGTGCTCAGTGTCTCAGATTCACTCAAATTAGTAATTATTTGGGAAGTAGAAATTTGCCTCTTGCAAACTCTCTGTAAAGGTAAAATATGAAATGTTCAGATCTTCTCATTGCTGAAGAAGGTTGTGACCAGAAGCAGAAGAATAAGTTGTTTATAGACAATGCTTTCTGTGTCCTCCCAAACAGTACTTTTTAAATGCTTATATGCAAATATCTTGATATTTTTTGTTAGTGTATCCTAGATACTTCAGGTCTGTTTAGCATGCATTTAGATTGTTATTTTGGGAGAATTTTTTATTTTAATTGCTGTCAAATGAAACTGGATATACTAATAAGTACAAAACATCACTCACCATTTCAACATAAAACCATAAACAGACACTGACTAAGCAGATGTTCAGTTACTAATAATTTATTTCTAAGTATTCAAACAAATCTGGGTGATCACAGTACATATTGTGATTGGCAAAACTGTGTTAACAAATAGGAGCCAATCTTTCTGTAAGATAATATTAAGTACAAATGCAGGAGAAGGTTATATTGGGTTCAGTCTGTATTTCCTTGAGTGCTGCTGTAAAAGAGCATTACAAGTGTTTTCCCTTGAACATCGGTCTCACATCCAGCCCACAGTTAGGGGCAGGTACAGCTGGACTGGCTGTGATGTTTTGTACAGCTCCCCGTCCTGCTCTATCTGCGATCTTGTTACTGCAGCAGGGACAACTGAGTTGTGTCTCTGCTGCTGAGGTGCTGTGATTTATAGACTGACCTTGGAATGGGAATGGATGTCCATTTCTACCAAATTTAGGCCATATCAACAGATGTGCTGTCCCTGCCAAGCTGTCTGTGTAGGGTGACTACATTGGAAGCTGCACTGGAAGCCATAGCTGAGGCTAGTTTGTAGGAGGAATATGTCCTTGAAATCACAAACTTACTGCAGGAAGAGGTGATGGAGGGATCACTCATCTGCTGGGAAGCAGGCTGCAAGGTACCTTCTGTGAGCTTTCCACATTGTTTTCTGTGGAGAATGCATCAAGGCAATCCCACCTGAAGGCCAGGATGGGAATGCAGGTGTCTCACACAGTAACAGACATTGTCACAATCCTACCCAGAGGTGGATAAAGGACGTGTGTGTGCCTGTGCCTGCCTGTTCCATCTAGACATTCCCATGTAGCATCTTTCTTCTTGCACTGTTTTTGTGTGGCTGTTAAGCTCAATGCACTAGAAATCACCTGCCAGAACCTTTATTGAGGATGATCATAAGTTGCTGAAAAATAAAGAAATTCAGGCTTGTTTCCCGTGGCAACTTTAACTCAGCATAAGTATTACAATGGAATATTAATTTGCAATTACCTATGTTCATGCATCTTAGGCTTGGGTGTAGTTTTAATTACCTGCTTCTCAATTCAGCTTCTCACAATGCTATTTCTAGAGAAATGCTGTTAAAAATGCATGTAACATAACAACTTAAAAGCATTTTTTTAAAATTTTTACTAGAAGTAA